TTATGTCGACATCTTCTCAGATTATGTCGACATCTTTCAATAATTATGTCGACATACGTAACTCGTAAGTCGCAAGTGGATGGCAGAAATATGCCACCATATTAAGGTACTGACTGTGATGTTTTTTTATAATCATAATGTGGTCAAATGAGTCTGAAATTCGGTTAAAAATTAATATTAGTGATATAAAAAATAACCCTCTAATAATTATATGCTTGATATTCGAAGCATATTATTGGGGGTATTTTTTGTATTTAACATTATTAAAGCTGTGCACAGGGACCCGATAATTTTCAACAGCTATATATGGACCTAAACTAAGGTGTTCAGAGTAATTATACATGTTCAAGGGTTTTAGATTGACGAATTCGGAAACTCTGAACACCTTAGTTTATGACCAAATATAGCAGGTAGCTGTAACAAATTATCAGGTCCCTGTGCAGTGGTATGGGAATAAAGGTAAAGTGTAATTGACATAAAAAATGTATGATTATGGTATCTCATTATTTCTAGTGGGTCTTTTAAATGTCTCTGAATGCACATTTACATGTTATGCTGATACGGGTCACAGCACAGCTAACCACAGGTACCTATCGCTAATGAGAGGGAAATAGTCACACATGACGATATGTGCATTCGTATTGTTTTTTCTTTCATTCCGAACCGACGAGCTCTTATAAATAAAGTATGTTCGTGAAATTCCTGTACATTAAGCCTGAATACTCAACGAGTCTGCATCTAACAGGCAATTTGCGACAAGTTTTTGAGGCTGGCTCCGTTACCACCGCCATTTTGTTTCACATCAAATTACACGCGCCTCGCCGATGGAACGGAATGGAACGAGTGTAGAACGGAACGAAACGAAATCTCGACTTGGACTGGGACGTAGCGAAACGGAACGATTAGGGTAGAGAGGATTTTACAATGAACGAAGCAGAACGAAACGAAAAAACAGTCTGCGACGGAAACGGAACGAATTGAATCTTGAGAACGAAATGAAATGAAAACGGAATGAAAACGCAAAATCTGTCAACTGAAACGCTGACACCCCTGTACCACTAAGGTTGTAAAAGACTACAAATTTACCTTGACAGATAAAAGCAGGTAATTAACTTTGAGGTTTTGACATAAACGCGAGGTTGTCTACTGTTCTGATTGTTTCTCGTGTATTCTTAATATGTCATAAGACATACACATTTGTACCTGTTATCTAGATTTCTAAGGTTAAAATAGGGCAACTGTCCCCAGCGCTAGAAATAAAAAAAAAAGTTCAGCTTCTTATCGATGAAGACATATGCATAACGCGACAAATTCCTTACTTCAATAACTCATTTTGTCTAGGTCTCCCTGCATAACAAAGGCATATTGATACTGCAATAGAGACGAGACGAAAACATATATTCATTTTACATTTTGATTGGTAGTATAGTTTAAGCAACATATTTGTGTATGTTATAATATAATATAAATCTCGGTATTAGAAGAATTTAGAAAAAGTAATCAAGCCAGCCCGTTATATATACCCCCTGGTACCAATACGGAATATGTCTTAAACAATTACTGTGATACTAGGTACATTATACGTTCCTCAGTAGGTACACTTTAACCACCGACGATTTACTACTCTGCTTTAAGTATTGATATATTGTTGATCGATGCAACATGTTATCTCTTGCGCTTTGCAAGTGTACCAATGGAAACATATTTCTACCATCCGGGTCGGCGTTAAACAAAAATGCATGCTGCATGACCGCATCGTTGACCAACGGTACTGTGTGTGTACGTTCAACGAAAAAGATTCTTATAATAAACCGGGAAGTTGAAGCGCAAAGATGAAGCTTGGAAAAATGGCACGACAATTTGTCCAAAGATGATAAATTAGATACTTAAGTATGTTGTATGTCTTTACGCATAAATATTTAATTGGGGGTGATTTAAAGGCGAAATAGTTCATTGCATCGGACATGTAATGGAAGTATATATAAAACATCACGTTTACACGTAGACTACCACTCCGGTATATCAGATGGCGAATGGTAGACTTTCGGATGTTCAAGTATTAAAAAATGGTTTAACGAAAATATATATGGATTGGAAATTGCTTTGGTAGATCTCACGGAGCAATGAATTGAATTGGACCGAGACAAAAATACGTTAAATTTGTTGAAGAACAACTTAATTAATTACCCCATGAAAACGACGAAGCGAAATTCCAACATTTGACTTCATACTGGTTCTATATCAAGATACTAATGTCTACTGAACAACTTTCTTGATAAACATAAGCGTTCTCCCTGAATTCTCTACTCTGTGTCATGGTACTTTAGCAATCGAAAACGAGCATTCTCAACGATAAAATAGCAAAAAATATTTTATTTGTTTTACAACTGAGTTTACAAACAGAGATTTGCAGGATATGCGTATGTTTCATAGCTTCTAAACCCATATGTTATAACACTGAAGGCCACGTTGTTTTCCCTATGCTGAACAGAACACGTTTGTTTGTAGTTGACAGATATGAAGCTAAACATCTCACCATCAACACCAGGAAAAGTCACTGATCCAACGCGAGTCAAGTCCGTCCCGTTAGTGGAGCGAATCTGTAAACCGGACTGGTCGCTAGTCCGGATACTGACAACAATATAGTTATCAGAGGGAGTGTTACCGTGGTAAAAAAAAATAGGAGGCGTTACCAGCACTGGTTCATTTGAAAACTGGTTAATTGACGGGACAACTGACATCCCAACTTTGATCTCATTAAAAAACAGCAGAACAAGAACATGTTCATCACTAGAAATGCTGTATGGTTGGGTTGGATCCGTATCTATATCAATGAAGGTTGAGATAGTATACGTTTTATTCAGGGTATTAGAATTGACAATGACACTCGTACTGTTGACCGACGGGACAATCCTGATAATACCACTGGTACTTCTCATAATAGGTGGTACAATGAACCTGGAACCCCATTTTGACACGGGCGGCAGATACTCATTGAGATGGTTACACCCTTCTTCGTGAGAACAGACATTACCAGATATGACTGCTACTGGTTTATTGCTAACGATACGCGTGCCTGTCAGGTCCTGAATACTTGTTGTTGTTTCTATATAGAACGTGTCCAGTTTGTCCAGTACGACGGTGATTGTATCTCCCTCCCTGTGATACTGACCAGGAACAGACACGCCTGATGTACTGAGGGTGATATTGACCACTGTGTTGACAAACGGCGCTCCTACAGCAAAGGAAGTTCCATACCGTTCATAAGAATGTTTATCATTTGGCCTGAATGTTCCAACGATATAGGAGTCACCAAGATGTTCTATAGGTAAAGCACGGTACCCGTCCCCTGATCCAGTTTGATAAAAGTTGAACGCAGTGGCAGACATCGATGTGTTAGATGTCAGAATGACCCCTTTGCCTGTCTTGCCATTTTCTCGCATGGTCATGTTCGCGTCTATTTCAATATGTTTGGCTGGACCAGATAAATGTTTTGATGTTGAGTTATATCGTGTGATCACCTCTATATGTGCATTGGTAGCCATTAATGTTACATCAACACTCAGTTTTTGTAAGAGGTAGCCATATTCAAAATTTCTCATGAACATCAAGAAAAAAGTCTTCCCTTTGAAATCTGTCAAACAAAAAACAGTACTCTTTATGTATATGCCACGATGATATTTCAGTGATATATTATAAGACTTCTTCATGCCCTACTAGCAGGATAGTAAAATCCCACCCGATATGTTTTCATATCAAGTAATACTCGGACTTGCCCTGAGTTTCACTGAAGTTGAAGATCCCGAGGGTGGGAGTTAGCTATCTTACATTCCTAAGCATGAAAGAGCGTTTTACACTCATTCCCCTCATATACTAAGCACACTAACAAAAAAGGCGACGTCATTTCAGCATTGCGGTATTTGAATATAATCGATTACAGGACGCCACGTCATTGTTGTCCCAGTGTGATGTCACGCACATGAATGTGGTGAAATTCTATTTTACTATTCATAAATGTATGATTGCTTTTTACATTTATGTTCGGAAAGCGGAAGTGGGGAAAAGAAAAAGAACCTTAAAGTATGTGACTATGTATGAAAACGAACAGTCTTTATCATTCTCTTATTGCTAATATGACGTATACAATTCCAAAACATATATTTCTATTTGATATCAATACTCGTATACATTATCTCTCTGTTGTATGATTATGGTATCAAAAAAAATACATGCCAAATCCATTATGGAAATCAACAAATTCAAATGTTATGTATTTACCGTGAGTTTCTGGAGCTGGTGTTGTCGACGGTAACGTTGTTAGTAAAGACGACGAGGAAGGGTGACCTGGTCATATTTAAAAAAAAAAAATGTGGTTCAAGTCGAAAATCAAATTTTATTGTTAAAAGAATATCAATATTTGATATGAAAACTTCTTTTTCTTGTCGTCACAAAACGTTAACTGTTAAAAACGCAGAATTCATAAAATCTTGAAGAAAAGAATACCAAATCTGCTCGTTTGTTGCCTCTTATAAACATCACTATTAAAGGTTTTCAAAATATTTATGAACGGGACAGCTTTCATTGGAATAAATGAGATCGTAATCACTAAATATGGTTGTGGAATTTTGTGTCACTGCTAAATATGCAAACAAAATAATAAAACTAACAATTTCCCATCTCTCATTAAATATGTGTAATTTATGTGTTTTATATTAGCGTTGCCAAATGATCATATACTTAAAATAATGTCCATTTTACATTTGGTGTTACAGAGATCATACGGGCAGCAGAAAAAACAGGTTCCACGTTGGTCTGACCGCTTGCCCACCTCCACCGGGTTATATGTAGGTGGAACACATCGTTTATCCTTTAATAAACAGTAAATATCAACGATTTTGAACCATGCGTGAATTACTTCAAAAGCACATGTTTTGTTAAGAATATGTATGAAATATGTATTGTCTAAAACTAAGATGAGGGAGCTAAAATTTTAGCTTTTCGTATTCCAATATAGACTGGAAATGCAAGCAACTGGCAATGTTATTTAAAATTCCCCCTTTTCGTAATACATGCGAATATGACAAAACCAACGCAATCGTGTCAATGATTTTTACACTCCGAAAGAGATAAATGTGGTCTGACCTTTTAGCCCCGAGATTGCCGTGGCCTTCAATACATAATTGGAAATCTTGATGTGAAATAAATTTGGTCCTGACTGAAGTGATAAAAACGATAACTCGGATCCCATACAGAATAGTTTGACATCCTGTGAAGTGACAATGTCTCAAATAGAAAGACAGAAAATATATAATCAAGAGTTCGGTTTTTCTGTAAGAAAACTAATTTTTGAACCAAGTTCCCTCATTACTGTTAATTAAAATGGAGCACCTTGTCCTTGACCGTAAAAATCATTTTCAATAATTGTTTTCACCTAACGGGTAGTTTTGTTGTGAATATGGCTAAAATAGAACACAATTTCATTCAAATCTAATGTACAGATTAGAAGATATATATATCGATGAAATAGCAAGAATGGTTTCAGTATTCACTAAAGTCAGTTTCAGTTTTTAGTTTTCAATAGTTAGCATTACTGGAAATATTTGTTCTCTGACTATCAAAACTGTTACATTGAAATAAACAATAACTGTTTCCTAAACTATGAAAGTACAAATATATGCAGTATGCAATACAAAAACACTAATTCGTAAATATAATACCACTCACGGTATTCGGTAAGCAGCTTGTTCTGTAGAAGATATCGCCGAGCTTGAATGTTTCCTCAACGTAACAAACCTTAAATGAAATATTGCATTATCAAAACCAAATCTATGGAAAACGCATCAAAAACACCTCTTCTTCCTTTATTATGGTAATGATTATTGCCGAATTGAACCATTCAACATGTGAAATAATGTGGATGATGCTTTCCCTACCGGAACACCTGGACCCGTATTAATGAAACCGTTATAATGCTTAACCATGGATTTTGTGCTCAATGCTAATTTCTTGTTTCGTATATAAATTAATAAAAATATATTATTTTGTCAACAATTTGGAAAAATGTTGAAAATACTTAAAGCCATATACCATTTACAATAAACACATTTGGCTATATGATCATTTTGCATTATTTAAGCTTTGTACAAGAAAATTGGGTTAAGCTTAAAATCCATGCTTGAGAATGAGAACGGTTTCATAAATACGGGCCCTGGTCTAATTCTGCCTGTATTTTTTCATTTGCTCAATGTTTATCTTTCCTTTGTTCCTATTTTGCCCTACTATTAACGATTTGGAATTCAAATTATGATTTTGATGACGTTTCCGTATTCTCCAGTTTATTTTACATCTTAAATTGATTAGAATAAATATCCTTACCTCGTCTTGTTGACAAACAGATATAGCGTCACAATCAGCAGGGTAACGTGATTGCGGACAATCTAAACATACCGGCCCTCTTTGTTTTGGAAATCCTAAATAAAGATGGACGAAAATATTACATAATCAGAAAATATTATAACAATTTGTTCGTTCGTTTAAAAGAGTTTGGTCCGTTAAATGGAGAAGTTTCTCTATAAACATAGAAATAAACTTAATTTTCCCTAATTTAGTTTATATTATCAGCCTGATCTGATAAGTAGGAAGCATCCCAGGTGATAAATATCCCTGACAATGCCAACTTATTGAGGTGATAAATATCCCTGACAATGCCAACTAATCACATTAAACGTTTTGTTTGCTTGGTCAATGGTTTAGTATATCTCACCATAAAAAAAGAAATGATAACATGGATAACAGGTTCATCTATGCATTGCTTATGAATATTAAAATGCAAATATAATTAGTATATGATACATCATACATAGTGTTATAAACTCATTGAATAAATATTCTTAAAGAATAAAGGTTTATTGACAATTTGTTTGCGTCACCAGTTTATGTTTGACCAGTTTACTAATATTCGTTGCAACTTTCGTATCGTGATATGAAAAGGCAAAGCCTTAAAAGAGCGTAGCTTTTGTTGATCTCTGATATTTACTGATTCAGAATACTGCTTTTAGAATGAGATAAGATAAACCTTTTTTTAAAGACGGCAAGTCGAGGAATAACAATAAAACATAAACTCTAATGAGATTAAGACCGACATAACAATGGGAGAGACCGGGGCAAGTTCGGCCCTTTTTTTTTTTTTTTATTAAAGTCCGTTCTGTGAAGTATGGCAGCACGTCCGTTTTTGAACATTATTTAACTTTTCCGGTCGGAAGATCGGATGGCCGAACGAGCCCCGCCATGGGTAAGTTCGGACAGGCATTCGGGTAAGTTTCCCCATTGGAATCAGCTTAATAATGACGTCATCAAGCATGCAACGTCAGATTTTACCGATTATTTTACGACTTTGTATGTGTTGCATGGCCCGAACTTGCCACGGAATCATTGGCCGAACCTGTCCGGGCCCAAATTAATATTTCAATAAATTCTTCTCGAACAGCAATGTGGTGGTGTGTGATTTGCTTTGCTTTCATGTATTATCATTTGAAGCTGTCAGTGTGGTACACGTTTGACCGTAAAAAAGTATAAGCAATTTCGTTTCAAAAAGTTCGCATAATTAGAAGCGAGATCATGATTTTCTTTCTACCCTCGCTAAAGTAATTTTAGTTAGTAATTTTACATTAGAGTGGTTCTCGCCATTTTTTCGTAGAATGCCCAGCCAACTAAACTGCTAAGATCCTTAAAAGCCAATGTACTAGGATATTTATCGACATACACGACATACCGTGTTGTAAAGCGGACTGCGTGACTGGTTTAAACAATGTGTAACAGTGGTGCTGCACGGTGGTGCGGGGTGGTGGTAATGATTATATTGACGGGGACTGCCCCAAAAGCGGTACTTTTGTACTACTAATGCTAAATATTTCATTCATATTTTCCACAAATGAAAATCAAAAGCTCATGAAATTTTAGATGATAAAAAAATTAATGTACACGTTGACCGATTGGTTTAATGCCGGCTCTTTTTGATTTAAACATATTTTATTGCCTTTTTCACATAACAATGGAATTGGGCACAAGTTTTACAACTTATGTCAAGCCCTTTCCCTGTACAATAATATTTTTTAACAAACTTTTATGATGGCAGAACTACATAAATAAGCTATGTATTATAAGTTAATTAATCAGTGACATATATACACCCGCACATTCACGCAGCGAACCACACGCAGATAAAGGAAGAGAGAGAGATAGGGGGATGGTGAGAGAGGGAGGATAGAGATAGAGGGAAGAGGGGGGTAGATATTCCGATTTTGTAAGATAACTAGAAAAGTACTGCAAATAGACAGTTTATTTAAGAAAATATATAACAGACCACGGGGTTGTTCCTTCTCCATGCGAACGGAACAAGTTATACTATTCGCTGTTCACAACACACGGCTTCATTATATTTATGTATACGTATATTTGTATGTTGCAACTCGTGTTTTCAATCTATTAGTATTAGTAAGATACATGTATATATGGGGTAAAATCTGTTCGAGTCTTGTATAAATTGCTGAGTATTCATGATTATAATTTTGTTTTCATGTTCCGAAATTGTTATATCTCCCAAAAGAAGTAGATTCAATGTAAGCATTCACAATTTATTTCTCTTTTCAACATAATTATCACAGTTAAAAAAGAAATGGAACGTGTCTTCAATAGGGTAACCACACATACAACGTTCGTCATCAACCCGGTTAACTCGGAATAGATCGCTTTTCAAAGTGCTAGAACGATTTCTTAGTTTTGTATGTAAGATGTTATTTTTTCTATCGCCGTAGAAAAAGTAATTGTGTACATCGGGCAAATGTTTGTCTCTAATGGCATTTTTAAGCGATGAAAAAGATGAGCTATGCCTAATACTTAAAGTTAACTGATTCCAAAGTCTAATAGTAAGACATGTTAGATAACCCTAGTCTGTTGTTAGGCAGGTTGTAGTTTTCAGCGTTTCTAAGATTATATTGAGCATTTTCGAATAGAGGAGAGAGTAGAATGTTTAGATAGTTAGGAGTAATAATATGATGAATTTTATAAATAATTGCAGATTCCGACGGGGCAACGGGTGGGCTAGGGACTCCAATCCCGTTTCAGTCTATATAGATTGTCTACTAGCATAAGGGGGTAAACTGGTGACAATACGTCCTGCCTCTAATTGTGACTTTCCTAACTTATCTTATCTTTTTGAAGATATCTCCCAATATAAATATTAACAGAACCGAGTTGATAACAACAAGAGGCCCAATGGACCTGAATCGCTCACCTGGTATTAATCTCACACTTGTAATTTTAAAAGTGAACTAAAATACAGCTACAGGCAGAATATCAGTGTTTGATTCATAAGAACCTATTAACAGATTTAAACATATGACGCCTGTGACCTGGAATGTCGAACAAGGACATTAGGTTAAAGTCTTCCAACCATGCATGCTTTTGGCAAAATATCATAACCCTGGACCTATTGGTTATACAGAACAAGTCATTCAAAGATTTAAACATATATTGATCACTGTGACCTTGAATATGGACGAAGGTCATTCATTTTGACAAAAATGGTAGCCCTTCATCCCAGCCTGTTAATGACCAAATATCATCACCCTTGGCCTTTGGCTAATTTAGAAGAAGTCGCATACTACTGGCCAAATATCATTATCCTAGGCCTCTTGGTTATTCAGAAGAAGTTGTATAAAAGTTTTCAATATCTTTGACCCCAGTGACCTTTAATATAAGTAAAGATCAATCTTTTGAATAAACTTGGTTGCCCTTTATCCCAGCATGCTACTGGCCAAATATCATCATCCTAAGACTTTCGGTTATTGAGAAGAAGTTGTTAAAAGCTTTTAAACATATTTGACCCCTGTGGCCTTGAAATAAGTAAATGTCATTCATTTGAACAAACTTGGTAGCCCTTCATACTGGCAAGTTACTGGCCAAATATCATTATCCTATGCTACTTAGTTATTTACTTAGTTGTTTAAAGATTTGTTAAGACAATTGACCCATGTGGCCTTGAAAATGGACGAAGGTCATTCATTTGAACAAACTTGGTAGCCCTTAATCACAGCATGCTACTGGCCAGATATCGTAACCGTATACCTCTTAGTTATTCAAAAAAAGTTGTTTAAAGGTTTTTAACATATTTGACACCTGTGACCTTGAATATGAGTCAATGTCATTCATTTGAACAAACTAGGTAGCCCTTCATCCCAGCATGCTACTGGCCAAATATCATCACTCTGGGCAGTTTGGTTATTCAGAAGAAGTTGTTTAAGGTTTTTAACATATTTGACCCCTGAGACCTTGAAAATAGTTGAAGGTCATTTATTTGAACAAACTTGGTAGCCCTTCATCCTAGTTTGCTTCTGGCCAAATATCATCACCCTAGGACTTTTGGTTATTAAGAAGAAGTTGTTTAAAGTAAAATATTGATGCCGGTCGACGGACGACAGACGACGGACGGACGGACGACGGACGCTGCACCATCGCATAAGCTCACTTGGTCCTTCGGGTCAGGTGAGCTAAAAAGGATCTTCAGAAAATATCCGCATTTTTACTTTTTGTGCCTTTGAAATAATAAATTGAAATAAAAAATGTCTTGAAGCACCGACAAAGAGATAATTGCAACGGACATCAGTTCCAGGACTTTTCGGTTATTTTTCATCCTTCCGGAAATAAGCGATGAAGGCCGATGGATTGTGACGTGCTTGTGACGTCAAAGTATGATCATCTCTAAATGAAGTAACATGCCTGTAAGTATCATATTTTAAGTGATATTTATCACTTACACACTTTTGTTTAGCTGAATAATGAATTCACATCGAGATGTGTCATTTTTTCGGTTCATATCATAACCACATACTCATTGAAATAAAATTACTAAACTGCTATATAATGTAGGAAATTGTACTTAAGCTTATCATTAAACAAAATAGAAATAAGTATTGCATTTTGCAATCATTTGTCACAACTGTAATGACGTCATAAATAATATATTGACCTGCTTACTCTAAAGATAGTAACATCGAGGAAATATTAATTACTTCCCCAGTCCCCAGTGAGGATTCACTTTTTCATATTTAATCACTTCTGATAAACAAAAGAATTGTTCTCAAAACAAAACAAAACGCTGTACTTTAATTGGCAGGCATTTTCAAACAATCAGAAGTTAAAATTACAAATACCACACAAAACATTACTATATATGAGGTCATCAATTTAGAGCTGTCTTATGTTCAGGTTGTATTCGTTTCTTGCAAAAGTCAATCATTGGGGACATAGACAAAGGTAAATAATACGTCGCGTCCGTTCTACAGTAGAGTTATCGTCTAAACAGTATCACTAACCGTCTGAAACAGGGTAAGACCAACCGAATTAACCAAGATGTCTTCCTGTCCAAATAGCATACTGTATGACCAAGCGACAAACTCACAGTATGCAATTCCGTCCTTACAACGGTGTTCCATAGGCCGTATTTGTTTATCGCGATCCAAACGGTTGAACCGGTTGGATGAGAGCTGTTCGTTTATGAAATAAAGTCGAACCTAGAAAGCAGATGCTGTTTTCAGGCGAGCCTTGACAAAGTCGTTCAAGGCCATCATAAACATTTGCAGGTCAGTCAGGATTTATACTCGAAGGAAATTCATTTAAAAACAGACAAACCAGTTGAACATGATACTGTCTGTACCGAGTTTCGACTTACCATCCATTCGACAGCCCGCAGCGTTACACAGGTCATTGTGGCAGCACTCGGTACACAAAGGATGCGGAGGAGTTCTGATGGTATATATCCGAAGGATGTCAGTGAAGCGATAATGACGGCTGGTTAGTGCACATCTCTTGAAGAATAAATAAAAAGTACTTTATGATATATATGTAAGTGTTCAAAGTATAACACTTAGTATATAAACATGAAATACATCACATAAACTACAAAATATTAAAATGCAAACGTCATAATCTAATTGATTTAAATTTAAATTTTGTACAGGCATTTGATTGGAAAATCTCTATCCTTTCATTTCAAAACATTTTATCAAATCAGTTATATTAAAAGGGAATTTGACACCAGGCAAAGGTTATACAAGCCATCTTTCTGTAAACTTTGCGATTGCATAGAAGGTTTTACCATTCGCAAATTTTCGTTTGAATTAGAAGTCATGATGAAGAATGAAAACGACGTCCTTGGCAAGCCAACTTGACCTAACTTTAAGGTGCAATGCCGATATTGCGTTAAATTACAGAAGATATCTTATATAGAATGATGATTCGTTGTATTAAAAACTAGAATCTAATTTCTCCCTCGAGAATCCAGCAAAAAACATATATTTCATTTACTTACTCACTATGCGTTACTCGATAACATCCAGCAGAGATAATTTGCTATATTTTCATTTGCCATATTTTGCCCTGTCTCTGTTATTGCCGCCTATCAGTCACCCATTAGTTTGAATTAAACATGTGAAAATGTCGACAGTACCACGAGTGGAAGACAACAAGCCCTTTGTCTATACTATAACCTCGAGATATTCTAAGTGGGGAGACTTCATTGTTTTCTACATCTTGCTTAATATCGTTCCTATATAATATAACTTTAATAGTATATGATTTTTATTAGAAATGATATAAGATATCTGATATGTTATATTCGGGCCACTGACTATGTTCGACGTTGCTGAACAAGTGAGCGCTTAAAAGGGTTATACCGCATCACTGGACAAAAACATTTTGCTAGTAAGGCAATATTTCCCCCTGTTTTTCTTGGCAGTTTATGTCTCTCCCCTCCCGAGACTTGGCCTAGCGACGCGTGTGGGTACTCTCTGTTTTTCAGTGCACCTTCCCTAGCCACCGGCAGCTGATCTTACACGGTACTACTTAGTCACTGCCACCAAATATAACGCACAGGCTGACATCATCAAGCCACTGGCCATATTCAAAGTTGCCAAACGTGTGAACGCGGCGAAGGGAAAAATGCTGTACTATCGAAATCTTTCACACATCAACAAAACTGGACGAACACTCTGCATTAGGTTCGTATTAATGTAACGATATTTACCCGATGATGCCACCAGTGTTACTCACAGTACATGATTCATTCGCTTGATAGATTATGGACCAACCTATTAAAGGTAAACATATTTACGGTAATATAACGATTTAAGGTTTCGGTAACCTTACCTTTGCAGACGCACACCCAACGTAAAACAAGGTTTCTCCATTCTCGCCTCGGTAAGACTCAGTTACGCATACCTGGATATAAAACGCATATCCCTAAATCTATGAATTTGAAATGATTTAAATATGACTTCAAATAATAAAGATATTTTCTTGCATGTTTTTGAATTGAGGTTACGGACAAGACCGCCGTAAATCCGATGCCTTCACTTCATTGAAGACACTCTATGCAAAATGCTCCTAGAGTGATTAATTGTTAATAAAAATCACCGTCATAGAGAATAAGTTGTTCCAAAGACTTAATTCACGGAACAACCGGAAACAACTACAAGCAGTTATACTTATACAGTTCGAACTTTCTACGTAAATCCTATTTTAAAATGACTTAACCATGTATGACTTTTTCTCTGATATATTACCGAACACACTATTTAAATCTCAACTATAACTACAGAGCCACGATAAGAAATTGGCAACTCGTGCGTACGGATTAGTAATTCGTACAAACGTATGGTACTGCCATGTAAACGGGTTGGTTACTTGTACAAAAGTATTAGTAAATGTATTACTATGTCCACTCGCGGCTCCTTATTCTTTTCGTTATTTTTGACATGAAAACTCGTTTATTCCAAAAAGATAACTGTATGCAATGACCTACTTACGTCTCCATCATGGCAGAGTTCGATACTGGAACACTGGTGTGGTTGAATGAAACCATTACAACTTAAACATCGTAGGGCGGTGATAGCTGTCAAAGAACCCTTGATTTGATTTTACATATGTAAAAGTACACAATAAGATTATATTTATGAGTATTGCTCGTTATACAACACCCCGCCGAAGGTCAGAGATTACAATAGAATATACCAACTGTTACCTACTGCATGTTTTGTAGGGGACGACTTATTTGGGAACCAGTGCGTTTGTGCCCTTTACCGACCAGAAAAATGTGCTGCACCCATCCCGCCTTGCTTGGCAGTGCCTCACTATTGGCCTCAGTGTTGAATGTTCGCCCTAGTGGGGAACGCTATATGTTATGTTCAAGACCATTACACAGCCCTTCGTTGCTATTCCCTTATACACGTTAGTCCGTTGCCAGCATACTGTGACCAGGACGGATACCGTTTTTTACATTTAAATAAGGTTGCATGCAAATACGGCAACAGATCCGCGCAGTCGTAAGAAGGCAAATACACCAACAAACCGCCCATAGCACCGCCGAATATATGACATATATGACGGCACGTCCTAAGATGACATTACCTGTTTATGGAACGCTGAACAAAATCGAACCTAACTAATTCGACCCGGAAACGTTCGCCCTTCACAGATAAAATCAAAATTAGTTCCGTGTTAATTTCGCCTATCACGTTCATGCAATTACTATACACGTTATATTGCGTCCTGATATTGGCTGCCAATATGTATTCCTCCCTCCTTACGGAGAGCGAAGTTAAACATCGGCGAACATTTCCAGTATAAAGTATTACATCACGGGACTACAAATACAAAATATATACATGTCAATGTAAGTGATACACAACATCGCATAGGAGTAAAAGAAGGAATATCTAACTCTGTGTCAGTGACCAAAATTGAACTCAGATTACGAAATCTAAAATGTGATCTAGTGATAAAGTGACTATGATAGACCTCTGACGCTGGAATCTGAAATATCAACAACTGAACCTAGCGTTAACGTTGACGCAGGATCATGAAATACAAATTCGTCAATAAATTGCCGTGTTAAAGACATTTCTTATGTCATTAATTGAGGAACAGTGAAATCATTTATGCGTACCTGACGCTGGTCTTATAAACATCTGATTGATTTGTTTTATAGGGTTAAACGTCATATCAACAGCTAAGATCATTTAAGGTCTCCATTTGTGTTGTATATCCATGTATGTGCGTATGTGTGCCGGAGACAGGGTATGTTGATGTATTTGCCTCCTTGTGATAGCGCAGATCTGATGCCGACTTTATAGTGCCATCTCACTGAAATACCATGCCGAAGTCACTCAGCACAGCATTATACTGATATCGGATGAACCAGTTGTTGACATTCCCCTTAATTTTGAACATAAATCAGGGAACTAGCAAGTACCTTTTTAAGGACTTTGGTATGTCCCGATGTTGGGAATATAACCCTTTGCCTTCCTCACCAAGGCTAACGCTCAACACTAAAGAAATGAAAAATATCCCAAATATTGCAATGGGCGCAGCAGATTATTTTGGTCGCTTTCCTGTCCCCTAGTAGAGGGCATAAAAGCCAATCTCGAATTCCGCTGGAGGTTTCTCACATAAGTCGCCTCTTATGCTATATGTAGTTGATAACAGCAGGTGTATTCTTTTCTCCGACCTGCAGGGGTGACGATCTAATATATAGTACAAGCATAATGACTGTGCTGGCTATGGACAAGCTTAATAACGGGGACCAACAAAAACACGACATAAAAACAAGCACAGGACGACAAACACATTGAAAGATCTGACATTAATGGTATTGTGACACATTGTGATTTGATATCGGATAGTCTACTTACACTGAATCCTTACCAGGAAGACCAGGAAGGCGACGAAAATAGTGTAAGCACCTGGAAATTAATATTTTATAATATCCTTCAAATTTCACATTAACTTTACATTGGAGATGTGTGTATGTTTCTTTCAGGTCACATTATTGTTTGTGAATTATGGAGGCTTGTAAAATAAGACCGACTTTTCTATCATACATTATAATTATATACAAGTATTGGTATATTTAGGTTCATTAAAAGAACGAGGCATTAGTGATTAATGTATTATAAATGATAAGTTAACACAATATGGTTATATATGCTTCAACTGCAAAACATAAAAAGCAGTAAAGCTGTGATGATATAACACTTGAAAAAAACCTTAACATACGTTAAACATTATGATGTTATAAAGCATACTTACCCATGAGAAAAGGTATGGTAGTCAGCGTGCTTTACTTTATATATCTCGAGATAAGAGCATCTGACCTTTAACGACGGAGGTCTGCGAAGGTTAAGAACACACAGGACTGTGTCCTGGTTTGCCACGACGAGTCAAACATTATCATCTGAGTTTTCAAATAAATAAATATCGTTATCAATTGTTATTCTTTTCATTCTAAACATAAGGAAACTAGTAATCAATGTTTGGAATAAATATGTTCCTGAATCAGTGATTGTAAAAATTGATGAACACTTTTAGCAAGCTTGATGGTCGCTATTGAGATAAAGTTGAAGTATTGTCCATTTGTGTGATAGGAATATTGACGTTTTAGCTTATACTCGTTAGTGCGCATTGTAACGTTGTTGTCAATTACCCGGATATTATTACTTGGATTCGTCGTCGAAGCCCCTCCCGGAACACCTGGATTTATCATCCTTATTCTTTGTCGATGGTCTCTGTGAAAACATTCTCTTTTCATTTCACAGTTAGAACACTTCCATATTTTTGTCGTGAATATCTGCAGGGTACTTTTATTTTCAGAAGTGATTCACAAAGCTATAGTTATGCCGGCTATAGGTTTTTCCAATGCGTAGTTAGAATTTTATCAGCGGCACGGCCATCCCACAAACCAGGACGACATCGTCAGCTTATGGCGTTTACGTATCAGGTCATATGCTTATCATAAGTCTGGTTTATATGGAACGCCACCTGGGTCAAAACTACAAATTCTTCATAGCTTATTTTAATTTCTATTCTTAAGTATTTATGCTTATTTTTTTCCTTCTTACAAGGTTCTGTAATAACTGCATGTACCCGTTTGTCCATCTGCGGACATTCCTTAGATGTCATACCTGGACGCAGGCATACAAGTATGTGTAGGGCCTCCTGCAATTAGCACATGATACATGTGTGTTTAGTGGGTGTTTTCGCGCTTCCCCATGTAATAGTGGTGTACTTCTTGTATAAATATCACAAGACCACAGGGTTTAGTTCGTCTTAGTTATTCCATTCAATTTCAAACTCTGGAAAAAATAATAATACAAACACATTCACAACTCACATACACAAAAGGGAAATAACTCTTAAAAAGACAAAGTAATCGGAACGATACTTTACGCTATTGTAATTACAAAATGACACTTCTACGAAGATCTACAATAACTGTTATAAGTACAAGATACATTTATTTTTACCTTTCAAAATGTATTTAATTCTACAATAATTCAGATATAGGGTAGTCATACCTGAGCGTGGCTCAAAGTCCATTTACGAAGGGCACCCATGCATGACACACACTACAGGTATAGGTACAGCAGTTATGCTACTTAAAACAAAACAAAACCCTTCTATACTTTCTCTCAATTGCACACATAAAACCACGACTTATACACAAGCATTTATTTCATAAGTATATAGTTTATGAAATGAATTAATCAAATAGCAATTACATGTATCATAATGGTTACTTTAAATAGAGAAACATCCTTCTCTTTACTAATACATCCTTTAATATATATAACAAAACATACCTTATATGATTATTTATCTATAAGAAAAAGAAGTGCAGGTAGAGAATATTAGAAAGATAAAACACTTACATATACAATGGTCAGGTCCGTCCAGTCACAAGAAATGTCTTACAATGACTTATACAAATTAAAGGAGAAGATTGTTTGATTTACTGTATTTTCAATTCACCTTTTTGAATTAAGCACCGTTTACAAATAAATTAGATATTTACGTTGTGCAAATAATAACAGGAAACAAAAGGAATCAAAGCTTTACCACAGTTTTCCTTATACAAATGTACTTACTCACTTCGTGTTCTAACAACACATAAACATGTAGTCTGCCAGTTGTAAAGGATTGCTGCTGAGGAAGGTTAACATTGCAATCATCTCGGTAAAACAAAAACGATTTTGGTTTCCGAATTTAAAAATTATTTATTCAAATTAATCAGTATTTTGAAAAATCTAAAAATCTAAAATAGTGAATACAAAGAGCCTAATTGATTTGTGCATTGTGATTGAATATGTATTTATATCCAAGTACAATATATCCGTCACTTAGCCATGCATTGTTCACGATAAGCCAGTGATTACAAGATGTTATCGGCGATGTTTGATAAAAAATTATTGTTATGCACACGAATAAATACAACCACATCGTAAATAACATTTAAGCAGGGCATTAAGAACATGCCATTATATATGAGCTGAGTACGTACATGCATCAGACTCTAGTACTTCAAAGAGAAAGCATTCAAAACTGATCTAAGGAAATAATTTATACCAATACATTTAGTAATAATACCCTTCGTAATATGTGATAGCTTGCCTTCTTTCCTAATCAGTAAGTATTTATTGAGGTAAGCATTCTCTGTTGATGAATCAAGAAAAACATCGGAATACTTGTCTGCACTTTAAATGCTATAGACCATAAATACATAGTACACATACTGTTTGTTATGTAATATGTATTTGTGGCTATCTTTAACAATGAATCATATTTATTTGACCGGCTCACGTGTGTGTCGGCTACATCTATCACTCCTAAATATTTCAAATTCTGCCCCTTTAGCATTTTTTTATATGTGTCATTTGGGGATTTGTCATGCACAGTACTAGCATATTCTAACTGGTCTTACCGTGAACAAAAGGAACGTCAAATTATCGCACCGTATTCTGGAAATAAATGGCATTTGGTACATAGTGTGAAGGTTAAAGTATACACTTATACGTATATCCGTGTTCGCATGAGTGGAATTAGGAAACTGTACCATTAATCTCTCTTCAATTTTGGATTAACATTGCGTGTAACAATTAACAAGTTAATTGCTAATCAACATATTTTTAGAATCATATTATACCTGACATTAATCAGGACCATAGTCACAGAACCATGCCATTATATATAATACGTATTTATGTCTTCAGAGTCACTTGTATAAAACATCAAAAAGGTGACGAAAATTGCATGCAATGTATTAACTATGGGAAGTCTTGGACTTGAGTAAATCTCAAGAGTTGAGATGGTTTTTTACAAGAGGGGCCAGATTCATTAAGACAATTAACAAATATTCATTATAATTGGTATCACCAAGGACCCAACAACAAGCTCCAGTCCGGAAAGTAATGAGATGGTTGTTAAATTTTGGATTGTTGATTGATTCCTTGATCGATTGATTGATGTATTGCTTGACGGATTACTTTTCCTAATTGATCAGTTGATAGGTATATCAGTTGTTGTATCAGCTTCTTTATCGATTTATAAACATGGTTAATTGATTGATTGGTTGATTGATTTTTTTTAATGGTTGCTTGATCAGTTAATAAACATATTTGTTGATAGATTCATTTAACTATTCTATTGCTAAATGTATCGATACGTGTTTTACCACTATAAATCCGGCGCATTCCGGGCGATGAGACAAGGATAAACACGACGAGTATGGATCAAGATAGGCATAAAAGACAATAATCTTTATATAAAGGTCCCTTCTGAATTAAGGCAAAATAAACAAGGAACAACTGCATAGCACAGCAAGAAATTCGAGCCTTTCCTAAAGGAGAGGAAATAAACTTTTGCATTCTATATCGAAGTGATAAAGGCGATATAAGCAATATTCACTAGATATTGTTTTGATATTGATATTCGTTCAAAGTTCTCAATAGAGATACAAACTCATATAAAGGGTTCTTGTTACCAGGTACGAACGCTGTAAAATAAGTGCATATTAGACACAGAGACACCCTTGTTCGATACGCAATTCACAAAGGTAACAGTAGATTGTAAATACTGATTTCTGATTTCAAGGCAAATTGCAGTGCTTATATTAAGATAAATGACCATAGTAAAATAGATAAAGTTAATCACATTATGGTCAAACACAAGATTGGCATTTGAACTCAAAACAAATACAGAAAGTAAGACAAAAATGCCAACACTTTAACAGAATACAAAAATTTCCATAACTGTTTCTTGAAAAGCTGGAAGGAAACTTCACATAAAACATGTAATGCGACTGAACTTGCACAATTCTAACATGTAATTTAGCAGTAATACGATATCAGTTGTGCAGTGGAAATATTTCAAAGTATGTGTTGTTAAACGCTACACAATAAAACCATACACATTTACATACCAAACAAATCTGAACAAGTTCGTACAATTATCCGTATCACTTCCGTCAACTCTTGCGCTGATATTTATTTAATCAATGATAAGATTCATCAATACTTTTCTTTTATTCATTTATTTATTTATTTATTCGTTTCACATTTTGATTTTTGCATAAGCGGGCAACGAGCTCGATTTTAAACGAGAATTTATCTGAATATGTCCCATTTTCACATGTCAGTCTTCAAGCAAATACTTTCATTACGACTGTGTACGGCATTGGACATCTCTGTTCAATGACTCGGCTTTCGTGAATACGCAAATCTCATATAAGAGAAGATGTGGAGTGCTACCTGCATTTCTAACATCCCAGGTGTATAATGAACAGCGAATTGGAATATAAACCTGTTCTGTGGTGGTAAATATATATAGATTTTTTGTAATGATGTAGGCAGAAGAAATTCCTCTAGTAAACAGAATAGTCGGTTTGCTCAACACTTTGGATCTTT